GCTCAGTGTGGCTGACGGGTGGGCCTTGATGGGTACAAGCGCTGCCCTTGGCCTGCCGGGCACAGCAGGCCCTGACACAGGCTCTCCTCAGTATAAAAGTCCCTCGTCAGCCCTCATGGCAGCAGACCAGCTGAATTCCCTCAGATTACAGAAATATTTGGACAAACCTCCATATTAATCTAAGTCCTCGTCTTATTCATTTTTTCCTCTCTGAAAGAAGGAGTGCAAAACATTGTGTCTTTATCTGTTAATCAGACCAGCCTGTAGTTTAGCATGTTTTATATCCCGACTCTGCGATGTTTATTTCTTTCTTTCAGCAGTTCTCCTATGGTAGAGGAATGACTATGTGCTAAACGATTTTTACTGTTATTGCAAGTCATGCAGCCCACAGTCGCAGAGCAGCGTACAGAATTCAAACTATGCTGTTGGACTATAATTCCCCTCCATTGTTCCTCTGTGACTTGGCTGCCATAGAGATGGACTAGGCAAATAGCGAGGGAGCAAGAGAGAGACTGAACAGGAATAAGGGGGGATTTGAGGTGCTTTGAAATGGCCATTGTCCTTAATAGCAAGGCCTTTTTATGAATGACTGATTTACTTTAGAGGAGCATGGCATCTGGTTTGTGTTTGACTTGCATCTTGTTTTGGGAATGTGAACCCCCTCACCTCCAAACTCTCTGTGTTAACTTGGGCAAGATCCTCCTCTGTGAGCATGCATGCGCTCGTGGACAAACATGTGGCTGTTAGAGATACGCAAACTCTCGGCTGTCATCCTGCCTTTTTACATAAGAAATCTTTCATGTGCGCTCTTGGGTAATCTGCTACTTTTCAGTCACAGCTGATAAATGTATAGACTGCCGCTCCTGAACGAACACGACTTAAGCCAGATGCAGACCATTGATGAAATGAAAATGTGGGCCAATCACAACCAGACAAGACTTTTGTTGCCTTCATACCTCTGTTTTCTTTTTTTTTCTCTCGCTCTCTCTTCAGACTTTCACCTCTTAACCCCTGTGTGTGGGTTGCCTCAGGTTGCTGAGGTTAGGTTAAACAAGCCACCATCAAAGCCATAACACCACTCAGGTCGGAGGAGGGTCAGGACGCAGCAGTGTGTGGTTTGAGGCCCTAACAAGAGGGCACAACTGCCAACCAGCCAAATACTGCTGCCCTGCATGGCTACACAAGCAGCAACTCTATTATGTTCAGCTTTACTCGGTGCACAAAGCACAGCTGTCTGTATAGACATACCAAATTACCGAGCAATGCTGCATGTGCTGCAGGAAAGCAAGTAAAAGAGCTGTTTTTCTACAAGTAGGAGAAAAAAATACCCTCATGAAAGCAAAGATTAGTACGGTGTTGAGGTGTGCTAAAAGTGTTGATTGCCATTAATCTGAAAATTGCACATCTTTTATGTATCTGGCAGCTGTGCATCTGAAAACTCCATAGTGGCCTTTTTGTTTCAGTCCTTTTGAACTCCTAGGCATGCTGCGTTCCTCCCGTCCATGCCCAATATTTCTCCCCCCCAGCTTAACCATGATGAGTACAGTAAGGGCTCATTTAAAGGGTCATTAGAGCTAATCCTTCAAAACAATGAGGAAGGAGAAACAATGTGTTCCCTAGTCCTCTGACTCTGTCCAGTAATAAAGACCTCTTGTTCGCTCCACAGATGTATAGAAGTTGCCTGTTCTGCTGATATCACGCTACATGACATAAATAAATGAGTCATTCAAAATGAAAGGTTTGCGAAAATGACATGAAAATGATCTGCGAGGGATCGTGAAATTGGAAACATGAATTTGAACTCTGGAGACAAGAAAGAATCAGTGATGATAACAGAAGATGGATTTGGAAGCCTAATAATAACTTTCACATTTCAGAAGTCATTCATATTGTTTTGAGTATTTAAAGTGTACGAAGTGCCTAATTTATGCCGATCCCTGAATGTGCCTGAAGCCGTTAACTCTGTGTAACACTTTGTAAAGCTTTTGTACAAAACAAAATACACACACATGTGTGTTTGTACACACACAACTAATGGAGTTCATTCTGACATCTAGCAGTAGTTAAATAGGTGTTTAAACTATCCTGTCTGTAACGCTTAGACACACTTTCAAATCTGGAGCAGATGTTTTTATTATACATTTTAAATAAAGCATTTAAACTATAAAGCATTTAAACTATAAAGCATACCGTGCTGCTCTAGAGCACTCACAGGATGTATTCTATATTTAAAACAAGCCAAATTAAATCTTCATGTAGAGTGGACCTGTCTGAGGCAGAAATTGCTGCAGGGCTACTTTTTTTATTCTGATAAAAGCACCACGATGTGGTGCATGGAAGGAATATCTCCTAAGCATCCTCAGGCAAATTACATTTTTAATTCTTTTTTTTTTTTCTTTTTTTTTTAAATCAAGTAAAATCACTTTTTTGCCTCTTTCTCACTCTTGCTCAGTGATTGGAAACTTTCTGCATGAACTAAAGGTCACAATATAGCCTGCCATCTTTGCTTTATAAACAGCAGTTGCTTATCTCGACACTCTGACATGTCCTGTCACTCAGCTGCTCATTTCCTCTAGAGGCTTTACGCTCCATATGTCACATTAACATGAGGAAGTCAGGGCACTGAGGATATGATGCCAGCATATACTTGGGTTTTCTTTGATGATGGGTCACTTTGAGAAGGATGATCGAATGACTCAAGTCCTTTTGCTCCTAAGTGAACCTCAGATGGCCTAGTGAACAAAGTGGATCAGGTGAAATGGACTACGAGCGGTAGTCCAGAAAACGGGGAGGGGGCCTGCATAATAACAGCCCTCATTCTATTGGGGGTTTTGTGTGGCACTTTATTAGCCCTGCGGTCTCAGTCATTTCAGACAGAATAGCTATTGACTCCACTGTAGATGAGTACCACAAGGTTTGCATCAGACACCACAATGAACCTTCTTGTCTGTTTTGTCTAAGATGCAAGAAGAGGCCATTGCTTGGAATCGTTGGCATGTAAAATTGAATTTGCGCTGGGTGCTAACATTACACTCGCTGGCCGACTGGCTTACAGCTGATGTCAGGTCTTCCGCAGCTCTGATAGAAACAGAGACTTGAGCTTAGTCTAGATATGGGTTATGTGTCTTGTATATGGGAAGCGTTCCCAATTTGTGTAGGAGGACTTGGATCCACACGGCAGGAGAGTGTGTTTTTTGTGGGATAAAGGCTCGTCTATGAGTTTCTGCGTGTCACCATGTGTTTGTAAAGTAGTTTGTGTTGTGTGTGTAGCTCACTGCAAGGTTCTGTGCACTCTGCCACCTCGCACCAGAGGGGTGTTTGTCCAAACGGCGCCAGTGTTTGCACAGGGCTGTCACGATGACTGGGCTGGCTGGCTAGTCCAGACACAGCTCGTCTGAAACCCAGTACACCAAAGTACTCTTAAAGCTCTGTCTGAAGCTCTGCTTATCATATCTAACATCTAACTGGAGAAGCAGCTGAAATAAACAGTGTAGTAGAGCAGGGTCAACATTGGGAGGTGTTGGAGATGATTTGCATCTATCTGATACACGACTAGAGTAGGTGTTTTAATTTCCTGATGCAAATTACCAAACAGAATCTTTACCATCCTCGACAACCATCCGAACAACGCAGGTTAGTTCATTCTGGGCTATGCAATAGATCAAAACACTTCATTAAAGATACAAATCATTTATTAGGGTTATTACTCTCTGCTGATTCGGACAGGCCTTTTGTGGAAATGATGGTAAGGGCGGAGCCACCCAGTGGGGTTTGGCCGGGCTCAGGTGTCATAGACCTGCCATTTGTTTTCAGGCCATTAACCCAGAATAGGAAGCAGTGTGGTACCACTCAGTGGGACTGCTGTCCACAAGGCACTTTTTCACAGGTGGTGATGAGGTTCTCATTATTACTGCATCACGGTTCACCTCACAGGCAGAAGCCATTCTTTCACATATATTTTATATATATTTGAAAGCATCTTTGAATTCTTATTACATTTTAACTTTAATTTGTAGCACAACACTACCGGTATAATGTTTTGAATTTCTTTAGATTGGCTTTTCATTGGTACGGGAATAAAATCTGAGCTCAGGTTTGTACTAGTATACATTTTACTTTACTGATCACTGGAATTTAGTCGGAGCATTCAGCTATGATGACTGTTATAGTGAGCAAGAGGCTGCCAAGTGATGACTCAGTGGTCATCTGTGATTCCCGACAGTGGCGTTGCAGTTAATGTAGTGGAACCCTCTCCCCGCCTCCAGTGCCTTTTTTCTCCCCCCACTGGCCCTGTGTCATGCTTGACTCACCAGGGGGTGACTTTTGAGTGGCAGGTAAAAGGGGGGCCACAATTGGCTCATGCAGGCAAGTGGTTCTGGGTGTGCAGCCAATGGCCTAATCTCATCACAGTTAGCTAAACAGCAGCTGTCCAGTAGGGATGGAGACTTTCCGTGCACGAGTGTGTTCTCTGACACGGTAGAAGAGTGGAAAACCAGGAAACGATAGAGAGAGATATAAAGAGAAAACTGTAAAAGTAGGGGACTCGCGGGATTCTCTGAGGTGAGATCTGTGTTTCTAGATCTTCAGTTTATTTGTTTTTGTTTAACTTTGACAGAGTTGAGTATTTTCTTTTCTTTCAGATCAGGGAGTTGAGGTTGAGGGATTTTGTGTTCAGTATTAATGGAGTTTCCATCTGCACACAGCATATATTTGAACTGCTGAATAAGTTTTCCTTGCTGGACCATTAAGGGCTAAAGCCAATCTGTTTTGGCTTCCCTGTTTATGGATAAACTGTTCTGTTTGAGTGTGATTTGTGACCATCTACACAGAAGTTACCTGAAGTAAATATGCTTAAATGTTCCAACAAGGATTCTGGCTTTCTGCAGGTGTAATGCAGTTTTCTCTTCCACTACTCCAAAACTGACCCTAAAGTTTCACCTCCCACCATGCTTATTGTTGTAATGTCTCC